GGGACAAGGGGTTCAACTAGGGGTTGGAAGCATATTTTTCCAATTTTTTCAAGTTTCTCGAAATCTGCTCGTTTCTACAGATTTATATTTGAACTACAGTTGACCTAGGTGATGCTTCAATTTTAAAAAAATATTTCATCCCCAGCAACCCGGGACAAAGGGTGCAACTGGGGGGTGGGAGCATATTTTTTCAAATATCTCGAAATCTGCTCGTTTCAACAGATTTATGTTTAAACCATTGAAAGCTTATTTGTTGAATAAATTTTAGAAAAAATATTTCCAGCAACTCGGAATTTTGATAGGGGTTCATATTTTTTTCAATTTATAAGAAGATTTTGATTTTGAAAGCCTTATTAAGATAATAAAACTAGTTTTGGTGTAAGTAACCAAATATATACTTCTTTATTGTAAAATGGAACTCAATAATAGTAACGATTACCTAAAACATAAATTTTGAACTGAAACTTACATTAACAACGTAATTGAAATTCAACAAACCTTGGTTAAAAGCTACCTTTGGTTACATTTTTTTTTTAAATTTAAATTAATTTTTAAAAATTTATAAGATTTTTCCAACGCTTAAGATTTTTTTTAATCAACAGATAAATACTAGGTATAGACGCTTTTTGCAATCAACCTGGTTTATTTATTAGTGAAATAGTTATATAATAATGATGAAATACTTTAAGCAGATTTCGAGATATTTCAAAATAATTCAAAAAATATGCTTCCAACCTCCAGTTGCACCCCTTGCCCCGGGTTGCTGGGGATGAAATATTTTTTTAAAATTGAATAAGTACCTAAGTTAACTGTGGTTCAAATATAAATCTGTAGAAACGAGCAGATTTCGAGATATTTCATAATAATTCAAAAAATATGCTTCCAACCTCCAGTTGCACCCCTTGTCCCGGGTTGCTGGGGATGAAATATTTTTTTAAAATTGAATAAGTACCTAAGTTAACTGTGGTTCAAATATAAATCTGTAGAAACGAGCAGATTTCGAGATATTTCAAAATAATTCAAAAAATATGCTTCCAACCTCCAGTTGCACCCCTTGCCCCGGGTTGCTGGGGATGAAATATTTTTTTAAAATTGAATTAGTACCTAAGTTAACTGTGGTTCAAATATAAATCTGTAGAAACGAGCAGATTTTGAGATATTTCAAAAAATATGCTCCCAACCCTCAGTAGCACCCCTTGTCCCGGGTTGCTGGGGATGAAATATTTTTTTAAAATTTAATTAGTACCTAAGTTAATTGTGGTTCAAATATAAATCTGTAGAAACGAGCAGATTTCGAGATATTTCATAATAATTCAAAAAATATGCTTCCAACCTCCAGTTGCACCCCTTGCCCCGGGTTGCTGGGGATGAAATATTTTTTTAAAATTGAATTAGTATGTACCTAAGTTAACTGTGGTTCAAATATAAATTTGTAGAAATGAGCAGATTTCGAGATATTTCAAAATAATTCAAAAAATATGCTTCCAGCCTCCAGTTGCACCCCTTGTCCCGGGTTGCTGGGGATGAAATATTTTTTTAAAATTGAATTAGTACCTAAGTTAACTGTGGTTCAAATATAAATCTGTAGAAACGAGCAGATTTCGAGATATTTCATAATAATTCAAAAAATATGCTTCCAACCTCCAGTTGCACCCCTTGCCCCGGGTTGCTGGGGATGAAATATTTTTTTAAAATTGAATTAGTACCTAAGTTAACTGTGGTTCAAATATAAATCTGTAGAAACGAGCAGATTTTGAGATATTTCAAAAAATATGCATCCAACCCTCAGTAGCACCCCTTGTCCCGGGTTGCTGGGGATGAAATATTTTTTTAAAATTGAATTAGTACCTAAGTTAACTGTGGTTCAAATATAAATCTGTAGAAACGAGCAGATTTCGAGATATTTCAAAATAATTCAAAAAAATATGCTTCCAACCTCCAGTTGCACCCCTTGTTCCGGGTTGCTGGGGATGAAATATTTTTTTAAAATTGAATTAGTACCTAAGTTAACTGTGGTTCAAATATAAATCTGTAGAAACGAGCAGATTTTGAGATATTTCAAAAAATATGCTCCCAACCCTCAGTAGCACCCCTTGTCCCGGGTTGCTGGGGATGAAATATTTTTTTAAAATTGAATTAGTACCTAAGTTAACTGTGGTTCAAATATAAATCTGTAGAAACGAGCAGATTTCGAGATATTTCAAAATAATTCAAAAAATATGCTTCCAACCTCCAGTTGCACCCCTTGCCCCGGGTTGCTGGGGATGAAATATTTTTTTTAAAATTGAATTAGTACCTAAGTTAACTGTGGTTCAAATATAAATCTGTAGAAACGAGCAGATTTTGAGATATTTCAAAAAATATGCTCCCAACCCTCAGTAGCACCCCTTGTCCCGGGTTGCTGGGGATGAAATATTTTTTTAAAATTTAATTAGTACCTAAGTTAATTGTGGTTCAAATATAAATTTGTAGAAACGAGCAGATTTCGAGATATTTCATAATAATTCAAAAAATATGCTTCCAACCTCCAGTTGCACCCCTTGTCCCGGGTTGCTGGGGATGAAATATTTTTTTAAAATTGAATAAGTACCTAAGTTAACTGTGGTTCAAATATAAATCTGTAGAAACGAGCAGATTTTGAGATATTTCAAAAAATATGCTTCCAACCCTCAGTAGCACCCCTTGTCCCGGGTTGCTGGGGATGAAATATTTTTTTAAAATTGAATTAGTACCTAAGTTAACTGTGGTTCAAATATAAATCTGTAGAAACGAGCAGATTTCGAGATATTTCAAAAAACAAAATAACATTAAAAAAAATCCCTCTCCTATACCCCTTGATATAATTTCCCTAAGAATATGGGTTGTTTTTCGCTGATATGTAACTGTAGTAGAATTTTATATAACTAAGTCAAAGTGAGGTAAAATACAATTTCTGTCGATTAAAATATGACCCGACGCCACTGGGCGTTCGGGTATCTTCGGAAAATTTGGCTACTATCTTTTGCCACCAACTTCACACCGGTGCATCCATGGTGCCTTTGTCTTTCTGAATACCAAATTGAACCTCAGAGAGTACCTTATGTTTTTCAAAAAATTCTACTACTCTGCTTTTGATTATCTTTTCAATGATCTTTGACACAGCTGATAACAGAAAAATTGGTCTGTAATTAGAGGGGTCTGATGTACTACCAGTTTCAAAAATGGGGACCACTAAAGCTGTCTTTAAGCATTTTGGAAAAGTTCCTGTATAAATTGAATGGTTTATCGCCTCGGCTAGAACATGAAGTGCCATATCGGGAAAAGCCATGATGGTATTTATTGAAATGTCATCAGCTCCAGCCAATTTTTTCTTCTTTATGTCCCTCAAAATGTTTTTAAGTTCAAGCAAGTCTATGTTTGTTAGATGGAAGTTTTCAGGGATCTTTTCAGGTAAGTATTCTAAAGGATTTATCTTTTGTTCCGAGTGTTCCGTTAATTTTTCTGAAACTGAACAGGAAAAATCGTTCAGTTCGTTAGGCGACAGTTGAACTTGATGAGTAGTCAGCCTACTTTGTTTTCCCCTTAGTTCATTTATTATTGCCCAGTTTTCCCTGTTTCTGTTTTGTGAGTCGTCTAGTCGTTGCTCAAAATATATCTGTTTAGCAGTCCTTATAACTTGTCTGTAAATTTTTCTATAATTTTGAAAGTAGTTTTCAAAAAAAGCATTATGTTTTTGAATCTTTCTAATTTCATGAAGGCACCTCATCTTTCCTGCTGATACTTTTATCGCTGGAGTAATCCATAATTTTCTCCGCTTAAACTTAATCCTTTGTAGAGGAAAAGCACAATTAAAACAGTGCTTTAAAGTTTGGTAAAAGGTAAAAATTGAATATTGGGTCAGAGTTATTTAAAATCGAGTTCCAGTCCAAACTGTTGCATTGTGAGCCAAATTTCTGATAGTTTTCACTGCTATAGATTCTACCGATTTTACTAATTTTAACATTGGATTTTTGATCCGTTCTAAATCCTCTAAGTACTGAGTGATGATCTGATAAACCTGCTGGAATAACCTTGCAATTAAAGTCGTCAAAATGAAAATTTGAGTATACATAATCTATTAGGGTTTCAGAATAGGAAGTCACTCGTGTTGCTTCTTCAACAAACATTCTTAAATTGAAAGACATTAGCAAATATAAAAGATTCTGTGTTACTGTGCTTTGTATTTCATCAAAATTAATGTTTATGTCTCCTGCTAAAATTCTAGTGCATAGAAAGTACCTGCTAGGTAACAACCAGACGTTTACCAGTCAGTCCATAATTTTGCCCTTAGGTACACATATTTTATTGGTAGTGGAATTTTTTTTGTATATACAATACGAGTGTAAAGTGAACCTTTTTTCACGAATGTTTCACTTTACACACTTGTTGCATAAATAGCTATTTCAACGAAGTCCGGATTTTTTGATTCCTTTGTCCTGAATTCCGAAAAACCTTTATGGAAACCCTATTCAGATGAGTTCAAATTTTGCATGGTTTGTAGTCCTCTACTATAGAATAAGAATCACTGAAAATTTCAGCTTTCTGTCTCCGATAGAAAAAGTTTTCAAAAAATCATGTCCAATGGGGCTTCCTTCTAAAATGGTCAAATTTCATTTTATTTTGTGTGAAGATTTTCACTTTACACGATCAGTTGAGACCCCAGAAACTCCATACCTACAGTTATTTATTGTGGAATTTGAAGCCAAAATATATGAGAAAACAACCTCAGGAAAACAGAAAAATCCAAAAATTCACCCCACATTTATTAACACGATTTTTTCTAAGGAACTAAGTATAAGTCCAAATGAGTTGAAATTTTGCAGGGTTTGTAGTCCTCTACTAGGATAAGAATCGCTGAAAATTTCAACTATCTATGATAGAAAAAAAGTTATGATTATTCAAACTTCGTTGCAATAAAAAAATGCCTGATTTCAACTATAGTAAACAACTTTATTACCTACTCAAAAACTTATTTTTATAAGGTATTTATGGGTGAAACTCTATCTGCCAGAGTATCTCATTTGCAACTGCGCCTGAACGGTTCGACGGAAAACACAAATCTGAAATGTTCAGGTATTTGCATATCAACTGGCACCGGATCGACTTCTTGGCACATGAGCATCAACAGATTACCAGTGCAAAATGTGGCTGAATTACTTAGACTTTTGGATATAGATCCTACAGAAGGCAAAGATAGCTTGGCAACTGTTCTGGCGGATATTTACAATAAAAATCTTGTTTTTAATTCAGGTACCTTTTTGGGTTTTTTTATATGAAAAATAATAAAGTTAATTGTTTTTTTTTTTTGGTTAGATGACAAACGTATGGCTTATACGATTAGGGAATTGATTTCGGCAGCAGTTTGGCCAGATCCCAAGGGGATTAAACCAAGAGGATTTGCTAAGAAAATAGAAATAAAATCGAATTGCTTTGATGCGTCTTTAGTGATTGATGGTGGTGTATCTTATCAATTTAATGACGGTACCACTGCTTTATTGGAAATTATGCCTGAAGATGCTTTAAGGACTGTTATTATTAATGATTAGTTAATTTAAGGGGGTGATTTACATTCCATTGATTTGTTTTTATTAAAAAAAAATATTTAGTTAATATCAATTAAGAATCAATCCAATTCCTATTGCTTAATTTATATTTTTGGAAGGCTTAATTCTTGTACTTCAATATTTAATTTGTTGCTTTTTACCTTTTTTCAATTTTTATAGCTTTTATTATTGTAATTTAATTTATCTAGTTGTCTAAGAATTCTATTTTAAAATATATGGTAGAGTAGGCAGTAAATCTAAGACTTGTTTATTATCCGTCACTCTCAGAGTTTCTTAAAAAGGTCAAGTTCAATAGCTTACGAAGTTAACAAACTTCATTTGAACTTGTTCGACGCGTCTATTAGGTCTACTCTGGTGCAGAATTGGAAGCTTTTTACAAGAAAAGGATATTATCTTAATCTTGCATTGGAGATGTTCAATTCTGTTCTATTTGATGTACACCATTCTGATATTTTATTGACTTCAAGCTGTAAAAGTGAAAAATCAAGACTACTAGAAATTTTTCTAAACATTTTTTAGATCACTAGCATAAAGAAGGAATTGGTAGTTAATAAAACCGTTAACTAGGTTGTTGATGGATACAAGGAACAAACTAGGACCAAAATGTGAACCATGGAGTACTACGGATGTTATCATTATTTTCTTAGATATGGAACCACAAGTCTATGGGAACCTGACGATTTGTGTTCGATTACGAAGATAACTTGGTACCCATGTTAGAAGAGAATCTGTAACGCCAAATGATTCAAGTTTGCTCATATGGATAATACAGGGTCCTTAGATAAACTGACACATTCTGCAGGTAAATATGTCAAAAACGAGGAAAGATAACGAGATGCGTTTTGTTCTGGGACAATAAGAATGTTTTAATGTTTTATTTTACAGTATTGGCAAATCCTAAAATTTGGTCTTACAGACATGCAGTTTTTTGAAGTAAAAATACTGCCTTATTTTCAATGAAACACCCTGTATATTTTGTCATCGTCAGAAAGCCTGATTTTTCTACTTTACAAAAATGTATAATGTTTTTTAATTATCTTGAAATCACATTGTGAAAATTGGACTTTGTTAAAGAAGGTATCATCAACTGCCAAAAGAAAAATACTTCAAACAATCACAGGGACTTCAAACTTTCAGGATTTATTGTGTAGTCTTTTCATCGAACAAAACAAACTGCGAATCTCGAGTTGATCTCAGACTCAGAAATGAAATTATTTTCACTTGGATGCATTAAAATCATACAAAATTTCTATTAAATTACCTTTGGAAGCTTCTGAAAAATACTTAAAGCAATCAGAATGACTCCAAACTTTCAGGATTTATTGAGTAGGGTCTTTTTATCGAACAAAACAAACCACGAGTGGATCTCGGTCTTGCTCAAAAAGTTAAACTTTTGGCCGCTTATGAGGGACAGAGAAGTGAAAAATCTGAGAAAACAATTTTTACTTATGAAACTAATGTATACACATATCATATTTCAGTACAATAAACATGATAAATTAATGATACACTAACACACAAAAAAAAAAAAAAAACTTCATGAAGTTTCTACAATAGTGTTGAAAAGTAAAACGATTCTACAGAGGTGCGTTAAGCGGTATCACGTCCAACTCTTCTTCAAATCCTCCATATCAGGCCATTTTATTAGCAATAGCAGTATGTAAAGTACTCAACTGGTTGGCCCATTTGTCTAAGGCGTTATATCTTGCCGTATTTATAGTTGTCCTATCTAAGAAAAGAACCTGATTGACTTGATCAATGCGGCCTTGTACAGTGTTATCCAAAATACAAGCGACAAGTAAACTTTCGACTTCTTGAACATCAATATTTAACTCGTTGGATATAAAAGGAATTTGAATTCTTGTGTAAGGCTTAATTAGTTTTATTAGTACTTGGGTTCTAATATTCCTTAATAGATCTAAAATAAATGTAAATATATAAATAAAACAGGAATAAATCTGTAAAAATATAAATAACCTTCAATATGTTCTCTTATAAAAGGATCATCCATGATATTTTGTCTATTTTGCTTTAAAATATGTTCAAACTCATTAATATCATTATTTTGGTATGATGTGACTAAATTGGTCATAGCTAGAATTTCAGGATCATTTTTGTATGGTTTAGCTTCTTGAGAATCAAATGGATTTATGCCTGATTTCATTAACATATTAGCCAAAACCAAATACTTGAGGCAAGTGGTTCTCCTTGGACTTCCAGATTCATCATAATTTTTGAAAGCTTCAAAAAAATCGGTATGTGCCTTTTCAAATTCTCCTTCCCTCAGGTGCATTTTACCACCGCATTCCCTGATTACACCCATGATTAGAGGGTGAGGAATGGCTGATTTTATATGCAAAGACTGTTCGTACAATGTTTTCAACTTCTTGTTATTTTTTTGAGCGGTGTACATTTGAATTTCCAATGCATAAATTTCCAATAACTGGGTGCCTTTTTTCAAATCATCTTCTCCATCATCAGTTTGACACGATTGGTGTAATTGCTTAAGTATTTTAGCCAACTTATTAAAATCACCTCTGTCATAGTAGAGTTTGCCCAATTTAGTGTTTGTTTTGAACCACAGCCTGTCATTTTTTGCATCTTTTAATGCTTCTAGAGTTGTTTCGTAAAAATTCTGAAGCAACTCCATGTTCCTTGAAGTTGAAATGTAATCCAATATGGAATTAATAGATTTCTCACTGTGATTTCTGGTAACAGCACTCTTGATGTATGTTAAAAGTTGCTTATAGCGTATCATCATCTCATCAAAATTAGACAAACGGAAATTTATCTTTATCATCTGTTTGAGGGCTTTAAAGCCCCATTCTCCCTTTTCGCCTCGCTCAAGATCTAGTACCTTTTGGAACGACGCTAAGGCAGCAAGTGGTTCTTCTTCTTTGAGCGCTTTACTGTTATAGTACTGATTTTCCAAATCAACGTCGGGTTCTGAATTGCTGTCTTCTGAATATTCCAATCCATAATCTTCTTCGTCGTCGCACATAAAATCGTCGTCGGACATTTTATACATAAAATATGTGCCACTACTCAAAAAAGTTAATTCTCCACCGTGAAAAGAAAAATTATTCAAAATATCATCAAGATATCAACAATTTTAAATAAATTCACAAATTATTGGCCGGGGCCCGGCTTTGGTTGAGATTTGACCAATGGAGGCTCTGACATTTGGCTAAAAGTCATGACCAAACAGTGTTGCCAGACCAGAAGAAGGCATTTTCTTTATACCTAATTGGAGTGCGTTCGAAAAAGAGAGCAAGGATAAAAGACACTGCTCTGCTACTACAGGATAGCGTATCCTCATAAGGCCTGTGTAGAACAAATCTGAAGCCCCCCACCACGGCAAATCACCAGTTGTGACGTGGCAGCATGTCGTTTCTTGCCTTGACGTAGGCTGATTGGGACTGTTTACACCACAGGTTATGATGCCGCGGGTTTTTTCAACATGCCTACTTGGCTTTACTACATTAATTAAAATTCTTGGTTCTCATTGACCCAAAACTTTATTCAAGGCATATCTACTTTATTATTTTGAGAAGCAATGCGAGATTTTCACAAGAGTTCTTAGAATTTTTTTCTTTATTTCCTCAATAAAAGTTGTATTTCAAGGTTATACCCACTTCAACATTCTAAAATAACTCCTTTTTAGATCTCCATTGTTTGCATCTTCCTCTCTGCCAATATGCATGTTAATCAAAATTTATGATATTTTTCAAGGTCCGTGAAGTTGGCCCCTAAAGTGTTAAATTTTTTTAGTTGGCCCCTAAAGTGTTAAATTTTTTTTTGGGAAAATATGTTGTTTGGTTTGTTAGTGCTTCGTTAGTGCTTCTTATAGTGCTTCAATTGTTTTCGTTAGTGCTTTTTTCGTATTCTGTATATCGATTTTTTTGTAGTTTCAAGGTCAGCCCTGACAATCTGTCAAAATGAACGAAATTTGTTACTATGTTTTAGTGCTTCGTTAGTGCTTCAAATAGTTTCGAAAGTGCTTTTCTTATTTCTTAGATATTTTAGATTTTCACTTCAAGGTCAGCCCCCAAAAATTTTCCGAATTACCCAATTTTGGTGTCAGCTTTTAGTGCTTCGTTAGTGCTTCTCAGTGCTTCAAACAGTTGCATTCGAGAATATTTCCTTTTTGAGATATTTAACTTTAAATTTTCAAGGTCAGCCCTCAAATTATATGGGATTGAGTTAAATCTAGATTCGTTTTTTTGCGCATCGTTAGTGCTTTTCAGTGCTTCAGATAGTTTTCTTAATGCTCTTTCCGTATTCTGATTTTATTTTAAAATTACCACCCTAACTTGTTCCAAAATGTACAAAAAACACAGGGACGCCACCTCGGACGCCACTGGAGCCAACATTGGTTTATAGTATGGAGGAAATCTAAGGTGCCGGTGCGCTCTCTATGTGCCGGTGCGCTCTCTATCTCTCTCTTTTATGGTTATTTAGTTGTTTTGGAAAGGTCTATTTTAATGACCACTGTTTTAGCTCGCGCTATTTCGTTCGTTCAGACGCAGTTTTGACTGGCGCTTTTTTAGCACCGGAGCATCTCACTCCGGGGTAACTCGCCTTTGTTTTAAACAGAATGGCTCTGTCATTAAATAGCGCCCAACGAGGAACCGCACTTTACAAGTTGGAAAATGGCATATTTTTAACTATCAGTAAGTCAGTGTCAGTAAATTTGATACCTGTGTCATATTCGATATATAATACGACTCCTGGGGCTGGTATCACGACGAGTAGACTTCTACTTTCATGACGTCACTCGCGACCTATTTATCGCGTACAGTACAGGCGATGATGATAGTTACTAGGCAACCTGACGTCATGAAAGTAGAATTCTAGTAGAATTCTACTTGTCGTGATCCCAGCCCTGGGTTATATTCTGGCACAGCTTTTGACTGCAGACAACATAAGTAGGGGAGCTCCGAAAGAGAAATGGAGCTACTTATGGCAATTTACGCCGAAAACTCACGCACTGGGGATCGTAGCTTAGAATAATTCAAATTTATGATAAAAAAATATTGTTTAATATTGATCAATATAGCAAAGAGGAAGATGAAAACGAGATCTAAATAAAGGGTTGTTTTAGAATGTTAATTATAGTCCAAGAGCCCAGAGCCGCCAGACACAACTTATTTTCTAAAGGACAGTAGAATATGTGGGATTGTGTAGCACTTATATGTACTATGAACGTATGTATACCCGCTAAGTTGGGTAGACGGCCAATTTACCGACACCAGGTGCGAAAGCTTAAAAAGTACTTTAACTTTTTTTCTAACGCTTGATTTTTATACATGTTATTGGGGAGACTATTTCATAACTACGTGTGCTCAGCCAGACCAAACGCACCGTCCAAACATCCCCCCAGACGCAATAATAGTTTTTCCGTGAGTGTGAGCGCGAGGGTACTATGCATGCGTTTGAGAGTGAGCGAGATATCTATTTCCCCCTCCTAAACTTACAGTCTACTCCAGGCTAGAGTAGAAATGGGATTCGGTTTTTCCCCATAATGGGAAAAACCGTTATTTACAAATAACAGTCAACTGGCCGTCTACCCAACTTAGCGAGTATACATACGTTCATAGTACCTATAAGTGCTACTCAAACCCACATATTCTGTCCTTTAGAAAATAAGTTGTTTCTGGCGGCTCTGGGCTCTTGGACTATTAGTAATGTAGTAAAACCGTGAATAAAACCAAGTATGCATGAAGCCAAAGCCCGCGGAATCATAACCTGTAGTGCAAAAGGCCTACGTCCATCCGAGAAAGGACATGCTACGTCACAACTGGTGATTTGGTGTATCATCCTTGCTATTGTAGCTTTATTCCTGTGTTTTTTGTACATTTGGAATAAGTTTGGGTGCTAATTTTAAAATAAAAATTACTAAATAATCAGAATACGAAAAGAGCATTGAGAAAGCTATATAAAGCACTAAAAAGCACTAACGATGCGCAAAAAAACGACTCTAGATTTAACTCAATCCCATATAATTTGAGGGCTGACCTTGAAAATTTAAAGTTAAATATCTCAAAAAGGAAATATTCTCGAATGCAACTGTTTGAAGCACTGAGAAGCACTAACGAAGCACTAAAAAACTGACACCAAAATTGGGTAATTCGGAAAATTTTTGGGGGCTGACCTTGAAGTGAAAATCTAAAATATCTAAGAAATAAGAAAAGCACTTTCGAAACTATTTGAAGCACTAAGAAGCACTAACGAAGCACTAAAACATAGTAACAAGTTTCGTTCATTTTGACAGATTGTCAGGGCTGACCTTGAAACTACAAAAAAATCGATATACAGAAAACGAAAAAAGCACTAACGAAAACAATTGAAGCACTGAGAAGTACTAACGAAGCACTAACAAACAACATATTTTTCCAAATAAAATTTAACACTTTAGGGGCCAACTTCACAGACCTTATTTTTCATCATAAATTTAAATTCTAAACTGTGCTGGGATCACGACAAGTAGAATGCTACCTTCATGACGTTACACGCGATCTATATCGCGATGATGACGGTTGCTAGGCAACTTGACGTCATGAAAGTAGAATTCTAGTAGAATTCTACTCGTCGCGATCCCAGCCTAACACCGCTGGCGCAAACACTCAAGGTTTGATTGTTGTTTGTGTTGTTCGGCCTGTTCGGGGCAGCACTTCCTGCTTTGGGGAGTTCGTTTGTGAGCGTTTTATATGGATGTATCTGCCATAATCTGAAATATTACAGCTTAGTTCAAGTTAGCGCGACACAAACAAACAAGCCTCTAATGACTTCGGCAATGGTGATACAACAATATGGCCGCAATTATCAAAAACGAGGTCATAAGAAATCCTTAATAGTGATTATCCTTGCGACAGAGCAAGCAACCCCTTTTAACTGATGCTAAGAAGCTTGAAGTTATTTTCGTTCGGTTTTCACGGTTTCTTATTTTTCGTGTTATTGTTTTATTCTTTTTATTAAATAGTCTATAGCCTGTTCAATTTTACATTTTGAGTAATGGAGGACTACCATTAAGGTAGAGGGCTATAAAGAAATAATTGATGGACATTAGACAGGAAGAACCTATGGGAAGAACAAACAAAATTTCAAATAAAATTGGTCACACGTCACAAGCTACCATGCACCCACCACACGAGAGCGTTTCAGTGCTGCTTATGTCGAACAGTTCAAGAGCGTCACCCTCCAGGAACATGATACTCTATTATTTAGGCACTGGAAAGCAGCATCCTTTTCACTCAAGGATAATACAAGGTATGTACTAAGGATTGCTTATCGGCCTCGTTTTTGGTAATCGCCGCCATATTGATGTATCACCATTGCCGACGTCATTAACTAAGTCGTCATCGAAGTCAGCTGTTTGCGCCAGCGGACGTGGTTTAGAATTTGAAATGAAAAATATTATTTAATTTTGATTATCATAGGCCGTGTTCGTTATTGTCATATTTTTTGTCGATTTGCTCCGAAATTTTGACAAACACGTGACTGGATCAGACAGTTCAATTAACAAACCCGTGCCTGTCAAAATTTCGGAGCAAATCGACGAGAAAGATAACAAAAACAAACACGGTTATAAGAGGCAAATAGAAAGATGGAAATGCGAACTGAAAAATAGTTGTTAGAATGTTAACTAATGCGACATATGGGATTTTTTTTAGTAATAGTACAATTAAAATACGAACAAAACCGAAGATTGGTGCATGTCTGATAATCATAATTAGGTGCACTTAGAATGGTTGCAAGTCAAACAGCATACAGGGTGGCTCAAAAAATATTAAAATTCTACTAATATTTACTTAAATAAAATAAAACTTTTGCACTTCAACGAAAGTTTTTTTAATATGGCTATTATCATAAGTAATGTTTTAACTTGTAAAAAAAAAAATTGCGACATTTTAAAGTATTGTGTTGAATATCATTGCAACAAACATGTATTTTGTGATTCAAAATCCTAGGAGGCTATGTTTTGGTATTTAGGCATAACTTTTAATTCCAAACAACTTTTCTCTCTAACATTTTGCTGAATTTTCTAAAATAGGGTACTTTTCAGTACAGATTTGATATTCTTTGAGCTACCCTGTATGCTGTTTGACTTGCAACCATTCTAAGTGCACCTAATATGATTATCAGACATGCACCAACTTTTGGCCGTGTTTGTATTTGGGTTGTGCTATTACTAAAAAAAATCCCCATATGTTGCACACTTGAAAAATCACACTGTATAGAGCAAAATCCCGCGAAAGAACCTGTGGTGCAAAAAGCCTACGTCATGGCGACAAACGACATGTGCCAACATAACAACTGGTGATTTGGCGTGGCCAGTCAAATATAATAGACACTACTAATGATTGCTTATCGGCCTTGTTTTTGATAATCGCCGTCATATAGGTATATCACCCTTTCCGACGTCATAACTAAGTCTTCAGCTGCTTGCACTAGCGGTAGTAGTAATCTAAGGGTAGTAGTTTAGATTTTTTTATGAAGAAAAAACGAGGGCACACCATTTGAAATTAGTAGCCGAATGAATGTTCTTTATAATTTTGATCAAACCCTTTGATCCATCGAATTTGAAAGAGCGCTGCGTGTGAATGCAGTCCAAATCGAACATGCGAATTTTGCCAAGAATAACGACCCGTTTTCAGCTGAACATGTGAATCCGTTTCGGATCACTTTTTGATCAATCGGGTGCAATTTAAATGCAAAAATAGAAAGCGTTATAAATTAAATGGTTTGAGTTCGGGCCTGAGCACTCAGGTGCAACAAACACTTTCCGAAAGGAATAAGCGTGTAACACCCCGGAGCTGTTCCGGAGCTCCTCCTATGTGTGGAAGGAATACCGCTATTATTTTGATCAAACTCTGTGATTCATCGATTTTGATAGAGCAAGTAAGAGCGCTCCGTGCGAGATTTGAGAACAGCCCAAGTCCAACACGTGAATCTCGCTGAGAGTAACGCTCCATTCGAAGCTGAACATGTAAATCCATTTCGGATCGCTTTCTGATCAATCAAGTGCAGTTTTGAGGCGAAAGTCGAAAGTGTTGTAACATTTTTCGGCTTTACTGCTCCGAGAGCGCTCCCCGTTTGTGCGCTGACGTCACAGATCTCTGCGGGAGTGCTCCGAGAAGTGCTGCCAGTCGCCAGATCTACTGTTTTCACCCTTGATCCTACTGTTTTAACTTCTTAAACTACTGTTTTTGTAAGAATACAGAACTTTTCAATTAATTTTGGACGCTTTTTTTACTTTTGAGCAATAATTTTTAATTTCCGTTGCCGACTTTGTGCACTTCGAGTACACGCAGTTATCAAGGCGAACGTGTTCTAACCGATAGAAATTGTTCTTAATTCCAAGATCATGTGACACAAATCTGCTCTGAGTCTACTCCAACTCAGAACTCGTGACATTTTCAGCTTCACTGCTCTCAAAGCGCTCCCCGTCTGGGCGGTGACGTCACAGATCTCTGCGGGAGTCCTCCAAAAGCGAACGTACTAGAAGAGTTGTTTATTGTTTTGATTATAATATTGTATTTTCATATTCATAAATTAGCTACTTTTGTTTTATATTTAAATTATTACCAAAAAATTCATTAACTAAAAATCTGCTGTTTGAGCAAGCAAATTTATTGTTTATTTTTATCCCAATCTACTGTCGGCGAAAAAATCCATCTGGCAACATGGCTAATTGCCGAGAGCAATAGGCCCCGTTCTAGAGTCGAACATTTGAATCCGTTTCGGATCGCGTTTTGGTCAATCGGGTGTAGTTTAGAGGCAAAAATAGAAAGCGCTATTTTCCGGAAACCCCGAATTTATAAAAACTAGAGGTGTTTTCTCGCGTCTCAAAGTTTTGAAACATTTTTCAAAACTGGTTTAAAACAGTTTCACCATGACGTCATAGCTTCTTGGCGCGAGAAAATGATTTTAAAACGGAGAATAGCGCCCCGGAGTTCTTCTAGAGCTCTAATATGAATATATTGTTTTTTTTTTAATGATTGGACCCCATTAAAATGAAACAAAAGATAGTAACTTATGATTTGAAAAATCGGGTACTATTTTATTTTCCATTTGGATCAGTGTTTTTGAAAACCCCTATCAAATGACATTGACATCTGTCTGCTGTCTTAAACCGAAAATGGCGCCAATTTTTTCTCATCATATGGCCCTTTGTTTTTTCTAAAATAGGTTTTTTCCTTTTTTTATCGAATCATTTCATTACCACGTTTATTGTAAAAAACACCAAGCTGCAAGTGCTAATAATGGGGGTAAGGATTTTGAAGCCAACAAAACATTTTCACCATTGATTTTCCTTCCAGAGAAAAACTGCAGCAAGTTCGGCCAAAGGCAAAGAAAGACGACTACAAAGGAAAGAGGAGCAGCAAAGGATTAAGGAGGCATCGAACGCAGTAGCCGAGGCTAATAGATTGGACAATCCTTTGGTAGATTTTCCGGTGTTTCAAACGTTTAACAAAAACGGCATCGTAGCCGACATAATCCATAAAAAGAGCAAGGAGCTGAACGAGTTTGAAAAGAGCTGGGTATTATCTTTGACCAAAAAGAACATGCAGTTGAAGTAAGACACAAACAATTATTGTATGTAATATTAATTCTAAAAGATATTTTGTTATAGATATGAACAATGTTCTTGGGGTTGGAACGAGGAAAAGAAAGCAGAGGAATTACATGACGAAAATGCTCGATTTTTGATAGCGAAAAGCACAAACGATGGGACTTACTTGGGCTTTTCACACTTCAGGTTTGATCTGGATGAAACCATTGAAGTTCTATATTGGTAGGTATTAATTTACTTGGCAATTATGCTGTTGAATATGTGATAAAGGCCCAGTTTATTCAGCTTCAGATAAACTTGCTGGTAGCTTGCAAGATAAATTTACTGTTCTGTAATTCTATTGGTCGGCGGATACCTAGCCAACCAATGGGATTCCAGGGACTCTGTAACAACTTGAAATATTTTCCCCATCTCTATTGGCATCCTCTTTCTATAGCCATGGGGATAAGGATCTCTTCTGTTACAGAGTCCCTGCCCAGATTGTGTTTTTATCTGTCGAATTGCATACCTGATAGTTTATCAAAAGAAGAATAAACCGGTCCTTAATTTAATTGATTCAACTTTAATTTTTGATTAATTTTCAGTTATGAACTACAACTAGATATCCATGTCCAAAGAAAAAACTTAGGCAAGTTCATGATGCAAATATTAGAACTAATGGCATTTAAAAACAACATGAAAAAAGTCATTCTCACCGTACTTAAGAACAATTCAAGCTCAAAATTCTTTAAAGCCATTGGGTAAGATTGTTTTACAAATCATTATTCCAATATTGTATTAAATCCTTGTAGGTATGAATTGGACGAATCTTCTCCAGTAGATGATGAAGAAGAATGCTTCCCATATGAAATTTTAAGCAAAATCAACAAGAGACTAGCGGCCACTTTGCCAACTAGAAGTCACCCACATGCGCACAACGGCCACAGTCACGGACATAGTCATAGTCACTCCAATGGACATTGTTGTCCTGGACATCATCACTAGTTTTAGGATACTACTTATTTTTACTTAAGAATGTTTGGTTTATTTATGTTTTTGTATTTTGAGAATTGTCACTTTTGTCTTGTTTAATACACAATCTTTTTTGATAAAATTTTTAATGTTTATTTGTGAGTGGTGTTTATGTTGCAGTTGACCGACAACCCCGTGGTACTTCTTGAAAAATTGATAATCAATCATCTCGATTCCATTATATGAGTATTGCCTGGACAGTGGTGCCACTGTTTGTGGAAGGAATTGAATTTTTGCGAAATTGTCGTGTTTGCTTTTCTAGACTTTAAAAAATGTTAAAATTAAATTTAATGTTTTGTAAGTCTTGAAAAATGGGTTTAAATAATAATAACAAATGAGCATAGAATTTTCTATTTATAAAAAAACTTCACAATTTATTAATAAACCTACACTAATGTACTTTTCAATGTTGTCAGTTTTAGGATTACAACTAAAGAAAAGGAATTTGTCTGAAGCTAGTCAAAGGTTAACATTGATGCCTTCAAAATATTTATCTGAATTTCAAAGTACATACTTAGTTTTTGTAAAACAAATTGATATGTTTCAAGAGTAAAGTATGTTTTTTTTTCAAAGATAATTCACCAAGTCAAAAATTTAGTAACTATGTTGGCAACACAAGCCTTTTGTACATAAAATTTTGAAAGCATTGACAATTTTACATTGTATTGCCAACATAATGTCATTTTAACTTTTATCTTTAAAAAAAAAAAACAGACTTTAGAAACATGATTTTCAACTGTAATTATTTAAACAAAAACTGACAACATTGTCCACATTTCACTATAAGCCATTAAAACAATATAAATCAGTGCAAATTTTTCGTTTACTTATTTCATAAGTGCGTTTTTTTTTGTCACATTAAATACTAATTCACCTTCCTCACCATGGAAAATAGACATTTTAAGGCACTCCCGTATATCTTACACTTTATTATAAAGTCGGGTCCACTATATTTTTGAGCAAATAATTAATTGGTGCGCTTGGAGAATAAATTGCAACAAAACAATAATAATAGTTTTATAGTGTATCCGACTTCTTTACATATCACCATTGTATATAAAATTTTAATTTTTTTCTTTTTTTATACAATGATATCACTTTTTTTCAAGTTCAAGTGTCAACTTTCTAGCATCGAGAATTAAGATTTGACACACCATTTGTAGCAACATATCACTAGGGCTAGTAGAAACAAAGACTATGAACACATAAAATCTTAAAAACTAATTGTATGTGGCTAAAAATTTTGCATTAAATCGTACTTGAAACTTGAAAATTCAACCATCCCAAACTGTTGGCTGCACAAAGACAATAATAAAATTCCTAATAATATTATGCTAAAATTTATTTAATTATACTAATTTGTTTTAAAGCTCTCCTAGCTACCATTTCCTATTGTAAATATAATTTGTTGTGCTTATAAACAAAACTATCTAACTAATAAATAAACAATTTCACTATAAGCGTAATTATTTTAATTTTTGATTTATGCATAAAATTAAACTACAAGAACAATCTTACCAATATTACTATTTTTGGTACCTATTATTATTATTATTTTAATTTTTTTTTGTGAGAATTTTGTTTTGAGGCCAAAACTGCTGTAAAAAGAAAGTGTTTTTCTAATGTTCCAGTCATTTCAACTTGAACTATTTTGTATTATATTGAACAAAGTTGGAAAATTACTAATTAATAATTATATCACGATTTAAAATAAGTAGAAAAATATAATAAAAAAATTTTTTAAAACTTAACACATACACTATCGGACAAAAGTAGGGCGAGTCTTATTATAAAATAAAATATTCAACTATTAAAAATACACTCAGTTTGAAAAGGGTTCTTGAAAAAATCCTTACACAATCACACTTCAATCAGTTACAAAATCTCTCACAATTGTTATATACAATATCTCACAATCGTTACATGATCTATCACCATCTTTCGGAATCATCACACAATCATAAGCAATCTTAGCAAATTTCCTCAAATATTGTGGAATTTGGCAGTCGGTGTACACACAAACAAACTTGTATGCAATAAATTATTTGAACAATAAACTTATTAGTGTGACAAAAATAAAGCAAGGAAGGCATTTGGTTGCCATTTTTCTCTCAATAATAATTTTCAGGATAGCTTTCCCTCTGACTATTTTTACTATAATTTTAAGAGAGCAGACTTTAGGCAAATTAATTTATACTTGTCATATGTAGATTGGAGTTTTATATCTGATTGTACCGATGATGTACCTAGATATTATAGTTGGAAGTTTTTATAAAACATTGTTCGACATAATTGACTTATTTGTGCCTACAGCTCGTTATAATTCACCAAAATTTTCTAAGTGGATGAATAACGAAGTCAAGAACTTAATTATGGAAAAAAAGAAAGCCCATGAAGCTTTTAAATTCTCTGAACTAAGATCACAGTGTAAACAATTTCCCATAAAGAATACATAACAAGCTTAGAAAGTCAGCTCAAAGACAAAAAGAGTTTCTGGAAATATGTAAATTCAAGAAAAGGGAACTCTGAATATCCTCAGTGCATGAATCTCAATGGGAGGGAGAGGGATAATCCACAGGATATAGTTGACATGTTCAATGGTCAGAATGACAGAATTTGCAAATTAGAGCAGAGTCTTGGTGTTGGGCCAGATGGCATGCCTGTTGTTTTCCTAGAAGACTGCAGGTTTATTCTGTCTCAAATTTTGTGATATTTTCAATATGTCATTGTCTACAGCAGCCTGGAAAAAATCCTATGTTACTCCAGACTTTAAAAATGGAGACAAGTCAAACATTGAAAATGATCGCGCAAATGTACAGGGTGGCCCATTTTCGATGTTTTAATAAGCTATATCGAAAACTAGCAGAGATATGAAAAATCTGGGAGCACATTCTCAAACTCTTTTTTTGAGAAAATAACAATGGCAAAGATAAATTACGGCTAACTTGATGCGTTTAGGAAATACAGGGCATTTTCCAAATTTTGTCCAATTTTAAAAGACTCTCTAATTTCCTTTTTATTCAAGATATCCAAAAACGAAAAATACTTATACTTATAAAACCTTATATCATCGAAATCAGCTCACAAAGAGCTATTTAATGAAAAAATAATATACGAGGTGTCCCATTTAAAAAAACACAACTTTGGTCAATAATTCAAAATCGGAGGTATCTGGAGAAAAATTGGTCATGCCACTGGATTCTCCTTGAAAAACTGCCTATAGAAAGTATTTTTCGTTTTTGGATATATTGAATAATAAGGAAACTAGAGAGTCTTTTAAAATTGGACAAAATGTGGAAAGTGCCCTGTATTTTCTAAACGTATCAAGTTAGCCGTGATTTGTCTTCGCCATTGTTATTTTCTCAAAAAAAGAGCTCGAGAATGTGCTCCCAGATTTTTGATATCTCTGCTGGTTTTCGATATAGCCTATTAAAACATCGAAAATGGGCCACCCTGTACAGGATGTTTCAGATTCGAGCCACATCATTGGGATCTCGGAAACGGTAAGATATACAGGATTGGTTAAATTGGGGCAAAGTTGCGTAATTTGATGCTTAACAAAATGCCGCTTTTATATTCAGGATATTCTGAAAACTTCCGGAGATATCCGGAAAAAACCGAAATTTTGCAAAATTGTTTTTATTATTTCCTGACTTTATTTGAAGTGATATTCCAAAATAAATGTCATTTCATCATTGCCACCTTTTCTTCCCTATAAGATGCTACCATCAAATTTGAAATCTGACGTTTCGTCTTTGGGCCACCATCATCAACTTAATTTTTTTAAATACGGACCCTTATTTTTTATTTCAGATTTCACAAGCTTCTGATATCCTAAAACTAATGACGTATTGCACTTATCCAAAAAATTTATATTATTGGTAGTTTCCATAAGAACCAAATGTGTTAGAGAAAGACAGAGAAGAGAATTTTGGTAGGAAATTACTAAAAAGTAGAAAACATATTTTTTCGAATAAATGCGATACTTTATAGGTTTTGGGACATCAGAAGCACTAAAAATCTGAAATAAAAAATCTAGGGTCGTATTTAAAAAAAATAGAGTTGATGATGGTGGTTCAAAGACGAAACGTCAGATCTTAAATTTGATAGTAGCATCTTGTAGGAAAGAAAAAGTGGCTACAATGAAGTGATATTTTTTTGGGAATATCACTTCAAATAAAGTCAGGAAAAAATAAAAACAATTTTGCAAAATTTCGGTTTTTTCCGAATATCTTCGGAAGTATTCGGAATATCCTAAATATCAAAGCGGCATTTTGTTAAGCATCAAATTACGCAACTTTGCCCCAATTTAACCAACCCTGTATATCTTACCGTTTCCGAGATCCCAATGATGTGGCTCGAATTTGAAACACCCTGTACAGTCTTAAGAATCGGTCCAAACAATCCAAATGAAAAATTTGAACTAAACAATGTGACATTACAATCTCTGATAAATCAAAATGATCTAGAAGTCATGATAACTTTAAACCTGAAATGGGGGAAACACATTTTAAAGAATGCTGAAAAAGCCTGCTATTGGACAAATTACATGATTAATTCCTCGATTAAATCAATGCTGCGCTGTTGCGAGAAAGTCATAGCCAACAGTGGAGATCCTATCCACTTGAAAGTTAATTTTTCTCATAATAATTGTCTTATGACCTTTTAAACTGAAAGGTTTTTAATCATCTCTTATGCATTTTCTTTTTGAAAATTCAATATTTGATATTATCATTGTTTTACTTTTGTCCAATAGTGTAAAGTGTGTGTTAATTTTGCATTGAATACACAACCTAATTGGAACTTATCTGGAAAAAAACTAAGGACACCTCTTCTTCCTCCTAGTCTTATTAACCATCAAAACATTATCCATCAGCCATTTGTGAACTATAAAAACTTCTTCCCGCTTCTGACACTCTTTTTCAACCTCAGAATCTCTAGCAGATCTGTAAATTTTTTCAATATCCTCAGGTTTCTGATAGTGAATCGTTATCAGAGGCTTGTAAAGACATAAATTGGGCTTCAGAGGGTGATATGTGAATCTGCCGTTGTGCGTCAGAGTGAGGCCCATTTTCTTTGCACAAATACCCGTTAAGTAAACATCTTCGAGATGAAAAATTGGCGTATCCAAGGCAGTGTGTAATAGTTTTTTGGCTACATCTCTAGACATGCAATAGCTTGTTCCAGACATGTAGCTTGGGTAAATATTGTATGGAAATAAATAACTGGGACCTGCATACCTAAAATATGTATTATATTAAGTAACTCTACCAAAAATTGTTAAAATTGATATACCATTTATCGGAAGAAGATCTAATAGGTTTAGATCCGCAAATAACAGAGCCCATGAGCAAATTTTCAGTTCGATTTCTAGTCACTAAATCATCTACTAGCTTAGGCAAATTCAAATAAATATCGTCATCTATTTTAAGTAGGTAACTAGCCTTACTTTGACACTTGAGCGTAAACAGATTCAGCATCATAGCAGACTTTACGCTTAAATTATTGTATGTATCATAAAAATCTTCTTGGACAATATCTTTGTATTCTAAAGATTCATTTTTAATTTTACTCTAAAAAAATAATTACATAACAACAAATCACGAGATTGCATTGCAAGCCTAATTTTTACCTGTACATCTATATCAGTCGTTTGTCCTAGCAAAAAATATATGGACACATTGTGTCCCATTATACTTTTCTCTAGGCCCCATGTTTTCCGAATAGCCCTTCTAGCTTCAAAGCCAGAAGGGCTAGAAATGCACATAATCACTAACAGGGATGGGTTATCACAGAAATTCTGAGGCATCATCGTTGCAGTTAATGCCTCCCTATGGATGTAATGGTTTAAATTTCGGCTTACGTTGAATTCCCAACCGGGTACTTCGGCTGGAATACAAATTGTACTCATAGATGAAATGTTATTTGGGTTTGACTTACCTTCTTCTACATTTAGCATGGTAAGGAATAGGATAACCAAAAACACTAAAAGGCAAAACAGGAAGAAAAGCTTAGGAATGGCTCTGCCTCTCATTTCAATTTGAGGGTTAAGAAGTACAATAATCTCAAATATTAGCATTCAAACATTTCTGAAATGTTGTATTAGTAAATTAAACCGTCCTGGATTACATTGTTCTATTCATATTCGTTTATTTATTGAACTTTTATTGCAAAACGGTTTTTAGGTGCAAAATAATCAGTAATCAACCAATCAGCTGATAACTTGTCAGTGATTTGTTTGAATTAAATTTTTAAACATTTCTCTATGAAGAAAATATCCAAGTATATCTGTCTTTTTCTGGCTACTAACATTAGACAAAGACCGAAAGTGCTGAGATTTGTAACAACTCAACCGAATGGAGAATGTCAGTGTCAGAGATTTGTCAAAGTAACAGGCGTTTTCATTTCTGCACCCATTAGCGTTTTCTTTACGTGTGAAATCTGAACATGGAACAAGAACAGAGAAAAACCATAAACCCTTTTCACGTGGCTCCGGTTTAATAAACCGCAACATACCGCTCAAATTCGAGTGGTAGGTATCCATCAAGGAGAATAAACCTTCTAAGGAGTGCTTATCGGCCCCTTTTTGTGTAATCGCCGCCATATTGGTTTTCAAATGTTTCCAACCACTGCTGACGTCATAACTAAGTCGCCAGCTGTTTGCGCCAGCGGTTTTATAAATTTATAAATTTGTCATGAAATAGTACATTAAAATACAAGTTTCATAAAATGTCTTATGAAACGAATATTTTATACTATTTTTTCTATTTTGGTATTGTTTAATTAAAAAAAAACAAATTTTTCTTGGAAACTTTATTCTCATATTTCCTGATTTCATGTTTAGGTTGGTAACATTACATGCCAAATATAGAAATCTTCTTTTTTATTTTTATTTTTACCATAGGCGATTTCGGCAAGCTTTGGTTGGTATACCATTTGGTTAACCAATTGGTATCTGCAACGTCATAGTAATGACGTAAGATACCATTTTGTTCCGAATTCGTTTGGTAGGTCATGAGAGAGGGGAAGAGACGAGCTTTAATCTAACTTTGTGTTGTTCTTCTAGTTTCGGGAGCCACTAGATACTGACTGCACTGACTTAAATCTATAATCACTAATCAGCACTGTCTAGACAGTACCTTTGAGTAACCTATTGGCTAACTCAGCGTTTTCTGTAAATTTAAAGCTTATTCCTTATTCCATAATCCATTCAGCAAAAAAGTTACCCCATATCTGTCGTTCAAAGCCATTTTTCAAATGATCGTCAAACATTGGCAGTCAAAATATACGAGAAAACACGAAGTGAAAACGAAAAAAACAAACATATTTGTTAAAAATTTCAAATTAATCAAATTATAATGAACTTCCATTTATTTACATTTCCCAGAGCAGGACAAAACGAAAATAGACGTAGATAGCACTATACCAAATAGAAGAACCGTGCTGCTGACCACGGTATCCTATTTGACAGACCAAAAAGGATACCAAAGTCATGGTGACGACATCATTTTCGTATTCGAAATTGGTTGGTATGCATTTGACAGACCAAACAGGGTACCAAACCATGTACCAAAGCTTGCCGAAATCGCCTCATAATAAAATCGCAAATGACAGTTCGGTGGCCATCAGTCAGCCAGTGTTACAAACTTCCGATAAGTAAAAAAGGAGTGTCACAAAGAGCTTCTTTTCGAAACTACTTTTAGTGTCGAAAAGACTTCGATATGGAACCAAAATAGAAAAAATATATTATTTTGATTCTGATTAACCATTATAGCGCGTAAAGGTACCCTATGACGGAACCAATAAACATCAAGGTCAAAAGTGCGATCTGAGCGCGATATTTCGATATTTGGCTAGCTTTCGTCATTCCGCCTATTTACACGTTTTCAGCATGTATGATTTAATGGAGCCCTAGGAGAATTACGCGGCGTTTTGTTTACATTTCTTTATGTAAGTATAATAACTATAAGATAATTTATTCTATACTATTTAATTGTTTTTAGGGTTTTCTCATATTATTATAAAAACATATTCCTATTCGAGCATAAATTGATCGTTTGTTTATGTATTATATTCTTGTAAACATTACTGTCCAATATGGCATATGGGCCTGGGCAGAAGCTAACATTTTTAGCTGTACATTTTGTTTTAGTGGAATTAGCCATCAGGAAGTTTTGAATACTGCTTATGATAATGAAAATGTTGATGGCATATTATTGAGCCCACACAGAAAGCAAAGAGCTCACTGACTAAGATTCAGCAGATGAGGAACGTGGTTTTAGCTGACCTATCTACTAGGCAACTTTGTGCTAGTGCAAAAATTGTTTATTCGAATGGGAAATATATCACAGGTAGAGCAGAATTAACAATTTTTTGAGAAATCATACAATTTTAACTTTATTTTTATTTTCACATACCCGAGGAAATATAAAGTACCACCTTGCGCTACAGAAGAATATGCTTCGGGCTGCAGCAAGTGATTTTTGAGTCAATAATGATATAAGGTATTATGGACTGCATCATCATTCAAACACTTTTCCTGAACGTAAAAAAAAAACGATGTGGTGGTCAAAACTGTAGCAGCTGAGGAATAACAATGTGCTGTAAATGCAATATCGACTTATTTATTCACTGTTCTCGAAAGTTTCACACTGGGTAATAATTTTCACTCATAATGCTGCTCGTGATGATGCAGGCCAAAATTCATTATAATCTATTTCGTTTACCTGATCCGAAATGATTATATCCATACAACAGCCTAACCGGATCTTTTTCGTATATTTTTGTAAACTTTCTACAATAGGACATTGCCAAAAGGGTCTAAAGTCTAAAGGCAGGTATGGTATCTCCCTTATAATGTCTGTATTTGAATAACTTGTATATGTAATAAATAAATAAATATTTTATAAATAACTCTTTATTTTTAATTATTAATAGGTGAAAATTAAATTAACAAAGTCAAATAACTTGAACACAAATCTGATTTTTACTCGAACTACCTATAACAATATAATACTGGTAATTAGGATTCAATAAAAACTTTACACGTTGTGCTGTTTGCTTGGCCGTTTGTATGTCTATCTGAGAGTTTAATAATTGATTAAAAGTATAACTACATTCATTACTTGTATAGTCTCAATAGAATCTTGATTTCTTTTTCTTTTGGCAAGTTTTTCAGCACCCATGGAATCTATTTTTTGGCTCGGTTTATGGATCACTATAGAAGAGGGCAAATTCTGGGATGGTACAACTGTTTTTTTCAATATCCGACCTCTACCTGTACCTCTTAGACCTGTACTCTCACCTGTAAATAAAAAAAACAGTCAATATTTTCAAACAAAACATTTTAAAAATAGATAGTACTTGATCAATGCCTAGAAGCAGGCCTAATAAAATGAAGCTAGGGCACAAAACTACCCATTATGCTTGTTTACCTTAACACAAAATTCTTGCTTGAGATGCAGAGAATACACTTTCATGAATTTGGTGACTGGTTTGCCAATACGAAGTTTTAAAATCCAGTAGGCTTTTCTTCTCGACACTAACTCTTTTTCCATTTTCGATTCCAAATAAACCTGTGTGGCCTGTTTCAAGGGGAAATATGTAGAAACTCAATCCTTTGTCAGCTTTTTTTTTTAGCCCAAGACTTGCACTGAGGAACACAACAGTAATGATTAAAAGTCATGATTATATGTATCTGATATAATTTTATAATTTTAGACTTTAATTATACTAGAAACTAGTTTCATAATTTCCAGCCAGCAGCCAGATCATAACATAACCTGTGGTGCAAACAGCCTACGTCAAGGCGAAAAACGCCATGATGCTTACGTCACAACTGCTTTTTTGGCTAGGCGGGGTACGGGGGGATTTGTTACACACAGGCCTTATGAGGATAAGCCATCCTTAGTAGTATGTATCATCCTTGGGTATCCATCACGTCACTTTCTAACCGGGTTAGAAAACGGTATGTCATTTCTCTAACCGTTTTGTAACCCGGTTAGTTAAACCGGAGCCACGTGAAAAGAACTATTGAGAGAAAAAGCTTGTTTTTCTCCAAACGTCAAAAAAACGTCACTTTGTTAATACCTGTCAAGATCTTATTCTATGAGCCGCTTTCCAGCTGTGTGCTTCAAGCACGGTGCAGCACAGTGTTCTGTTGGTGCGTACGATTTGTCTGAACCGGTTAGCGTTAGTGCAGTGCAGTTATGTTTTGGAACGCAACCATCTAAACTACACTGGAAAATGGAATGCTGCGGTACGAATGGTGTAAAAAGTGCGACATTAATGATGGGTCAGGGTAAAAAGTGTCAGTAGTTCGGACTTATCGTACGCACCATGTGTTTGAAACGCAAAAATTAGCAGCTCTCGAAGCGCAGTACGGCTGGAACACGAATACGCGCTTGAAGCATTTGCGCGCGCAAAGGCTCGATTGCGTGCTCAAAAGCGTCAGCTGGAAAGCGGCTTAGGTAACCGCAGCGGCAGTAAAGTATTTTTTCTCCAAATGTCAGAAAAACGTCACTTTGTTAACCCCTGTCAAGATGTCAGAAATTTAATTTCTATGCTGCTAGGCAAATCCAGCGGGTTAACACCTGGCCAGGTAGTAGAAATTCAATTTTTCTCCGAATGACAGTAAAAGCGGCCTTTTAATGACACTTGACAGGATCAAAAGGTGTATTTTTACTGCCTAGGCAGTAAAAGTGGACTTTTACTGCCTAGGCATTAAAAGTGACAGTGTCACAACGTTCCAGGTAATAATTTCACTCAATTTGGTATTTGAAATTGATGGTGACAATGACAATTGTCAAAATAATTTAATTATTTGGATAATAATAATGAATGAAATAAATATAAAAAAGATGTCCATGTGTGAATTTGAACATTCGGAGAAAAAATTATATATTTTACATGGCAGAAAAGCAGAACCAGCCGAGGCATTAAATCTTGTACTTTTCTGCCTAGTAAAACAATAGTTATTTGTTTTACTAGGCAGAAAAGTACAAGATTTAATGCCGCGGCTGGTGTTTTATAGCCAAGGCATAGCCGAGGCTAGGAAACCAGCCGAGGCATTAAATCTGCTTTTCTGCCATGTAAAACATATAATTTTTTCTCCGAATGTTCAAATTCACACATGGACATCTTTTTTATATTTATGTCATTCAATATTATTATCCAAATAATTAAATTATTTTGACAATTGTCATTGTCACCATCAATTTCAAATGCCAAATTGAGTGATATTATTACCTGGAACGTTGTGACACTGTCACTTTTAATGCCTAGGCAGTAAAAGTCCACTTTTACTGCCTAGGCAGTAAAAATACAACTTTTGATCCTGTCAAGTGTCATTAAA